ATGCTGCAGCTTTTCAAAAGACACGAAAAAAAAGAAACCTATACCTCCTCCTCCCACCAAGCCATAACCACACATATACATATCTAAGCATTGGAATCAGCAGATTGAGTCTCTTAGAAGCAGGTTTAAGTAGAGGATCCTCTTGAAATGCTCTCAGACATCTGGGCAATATACAAGGGGAAGAAGTGGGTAAAATGTCATGTTTCCCTTTGTTGTAGCCGCTCTGGACATTTGTCAAATGGTCGTGGATGCCAGAGCAGCTGTAATGTGCTGAGGAGCAGGAGGAAAAATAATAAAGCAAAGGAGCACGTCAATAACATTACATTGTATTAAGCCACATGCTCGGCCGCATAAATCCATCTTCTGCCACAGTCAGAGCTTTCATTTCACTCTAGGGTGCCCACACATACATTTTAATCAGCCATTTGGCCGACCAAGCTGACAACTGCTCGACAACAGAAGCTGATAAGGGTGATGATAAATCATAGCACGACTGCTACAATCTTTGGGTTAGTTTCTGAGAGCACCTGCCAGTTTAAGATTTTTCCCACTATTCATGAGTCGATTCCAGGAAACAAGATTAGTGTTTCCTCTCTTCACCGTCCAATTTCTTCACGGGATGACTGTGTTGAGACCGGGCTGCGTCCTGCATCTTTGCATGTGTAAAAACTGTTGATGGAAAACACCATGCACAAGTGCAGTGGGTGTTTTCTGGTCTCTGAAAAAGTGGCCTGTTGGAGCTGTGTTATCCTGATACTCTCTAACCTTTTCTACAGATCCCTCCAGGGCAGTGAAAGAGGAATATGTTTTGTTTTAGAGCAGAAGGAATGAAATCAACTAACTTTATTGGAGGACTGACACCAGCTTGTCCTCAAGTTCTTTCACACAATATCTGGAAAGACTGCAGACAGCTTGAACGCTTGCAGCTGAAACCAAGTTTAAAAATAATTCTCTTTCTCTCCAGACTGATGTCTATATCATCTCATATAATTGATATTCACTTCAAGTACTAGGCATTGGTAGGTAGCAAAATATTCTCTGCTCTTCCTATATCTATTCACAAAATTCCTGTGTGGTGAACTTGGATATCAAGACAAGACAGATTAATTCAAATGTGTCATGATACTGATGCACAATCTGTTTAGTACTATAACATTGGGTGCATTGGGTCCATCTTCAGGAGACAGTCATGGTCCCCTGAGGATGCACTGACACCAGCAGGCCAAAGTTTTCATTTTGAAATATCTAAATGTTGATTGGATTATTTGGTCCCAAGTTTCCAATATTCCTTGAATCTAGAGGTAGAACTCTGATCACTTTGATGATTCGGTGACTTTTCTTCTGGGGCCAATTCTTGTGTTATACACCTCAGCTGTGCACTCTGGTTCGTGCTACTCAGCTAACATTAGTATGCTAACACACTAAATTAAGATGCTGTACATGGTAAACATTATGCCCCCTAAACATCAGCATTTTAGCATTGTTAATTTAAACATGTTAGCATGTTCAAATTAGCATTAAGCTCAGAGCACCGTGATCCTTAAGCCTCACAGGGCTGCAGACGTTGAGTGTTGTTGAATATTCATGACTTGGACCAAAATCATTATTCTTGCTCAAGTACAAACTCAACTTCATTTGGTTGTAGCTTAAAACTGAAATTGGAATGATTTCAACCTTCCACTGGAAGTACATGTATATTAATTAAACATTTAAATATTATGTACTCCTCTAGTCCATACCACTTTGAAGATACAGTCATTGATAGCAAAAATAGAATCCATAATAAGCTACTTGGTCCTTGGTCCTTAATGACCATGGATGCTATAACATAAGAAGAATAGGAACACAATTTTTTTTATACCATTCTTAATATTGACCTATATACACTTTGCCAGTAAATCCAGTGCAACTGAGCGAAACTGTTTTATTTATACACTGGGTTTAAAATTAGAGGATTCTTTATCACGTCCATGAAGTCAGTGTAGCTGTATAGAAGACAATATAGAATGCAAGACAACAACATGAAAACAATTCTGTTTTCCCAGCAGCTACAGCTGTGACAGTAAAAACAAGGCCGCCGTTTGATGAAATCCAGGCAAGTAATGAGCTCCATCGACTCACGAATCGCGCCGTCAAATCAGTCACCGTCTTTGAGCTCGTCGACTTCACACATGCTACCTGGGCGCCACAACCATCCGCGCGATTACCTCAGACATCCAAAAAGTCGTTTCAGCTTCTCACAGTGGAGGAGCTCCAAAGGAGAAGGAACTGACAAAGAGAGGAAGCAGGAAGCAGGCCCGATGGTAGAACATCAGCAGAGATGGTGGGTGGGTGGGTGGGGTAAGACGCAGGAAGTAAACACGCACACATGAACAGATTCAGAAACACACAAAGGGGCTTACATGACAAGTCATTATCCAGCATCACCAGCAGAAGACAGAGGAGTTGCCAGAAGAGAAGGGAGTTAAGTGAGAAGGAATGGAGGAGAAAAAAAGCAAAGATAAAAAGTAAAGTGCTGGTGATTCGGTCTCGATATCTCAAAATACACAGATGGCATTTTGCTGGGATGCAGTTTTGAAGAAAGTCTTCTCGTGATGAGGGACGAATTCGGTTTAGTTGGATCTATTCGTAGAAATTGAATATGATATTCATAATTATGTTTTCATTAGGGTGTAATCACCTGAAACTAAGAATCATTGTGTTTTCATTACCTTGGAATGAGCCCTTTATTTTTATAGGGAGTGAATCCCCTTCCACAGAATCCGCCATGTTTCTACAGTAGCCACGAACAGACAAACCAAACACTGACTCTAGAAAAGGTCTTTTGTGTGTTTACACTTCTTTAAAGTGTGTGGTGGCCATAAGGGTTAATATTCAGTTGACTAACCTTTAAGACATCTTGAGTCAAACATCTTTGTTATAGAGTTGTGTTTATTGATTCACAAAAACTGTGTATTGTTTATGTGAAGTAATAGACATTACAGTAGAGGCAGATAATTCAAAAACAATTTTTACTCCCACGCACCTTCACTCAAGACAATGTCGTCACAAGAGGCTGACAATTACAGGACAGTTGCAAGAAGAAATTATTATTACAGTAAAAAACAATCTCACATTCTATTAATCTTCTTTCTTAGATAAACTGAAGACGTACGTGATTCTTTTTGGGATTAAAAAATTATCCTACATCTAAAGCTTAATAAACCATTTAAAAACCAATTTGAAAATTGATAATGAGCTAATTTTCTTGGCTCATTAATGGTTGACATTTTGGAGATGCATGGTTTTCACAGGCCAGCTGTTTTGTGGTTGGTACTTTAATGATATCCGTGCATCTTTTGCACAAGTGTGTGTGTGGCGATAAGTCAGTGTTTTTGGGACAGTAGAATAATGAAGAATAATACTATTGTTGTTCAAGCCCAAGTCTCCTTGTTTACTTACTGACATTATTCCAACTGTAACCATAGCAGAATGAGTCAGTACCGGCAAATACCACAGACAAAACATATAAATATATATCGTGCATTATTCTTTCAATGTAAAGAACTGTTTATGGGTATGAATACGTAGACGTGGCATTAACATATAATTACTGTTCGTGGGTATTGTCTCCATGCATTGCCACGGCCACCACAGGTCCCAGTGTGTAGATGAATCCCGATAGATCCCCATTACCCCAGGTGTGACCCCTCGCAGCTCAGTTCATTAAGCCAGCCACCCGAGTGTCCGGGACTCAAGTCCAGATTTAATCACAACTTCCATCCTCTTGCCAATCACAATTAGATCCTGATAAGCCTCTCAACGATGGCACCCGAGGGCCCCTGCACTGAAGCAAAGGTTAATTTGCAAGCAGCAAGGACCCCGGCTACAGGGCCAAAGGTCACCCGATTGAATACATGGAGGATGTGTGTGTAAGACGAGGAAGCTTGGCAGCAATTACAAAGTTCATCAGTATTCATGCGTTTCATTCGTGGCTAATGGGTACATTACCTTCAAAGAGGTGGGCTGATAGGATGTGGCCCTTAATGGGAATTAGCTTGTGGGTAGTCTTTAGGTAGCTGAAATGTAAAGTTATTTTGTCACCATTGTCATTTTGTCTCGTCCAATCATGTCAGTGCTCCTGAGTGTCGGCTCCTGAGTGTCGGCTCCTGAGTGTCGGCTCCTGAGCGGCTGCACTGGAGATGTTCAGGGTTTAAGTCTAAGTCATCAAAGTCACACTATGTAACTTTTTAGAGAATAAATAAAACATATTCCACTTATAGTTGAAATAATTAGAAATAAAACACACCTTTACTTTATTCAGTACACTAACTGGATTTTTGCTCTGGTATAACCTGATACTAATGGTGACTAACCTCGGCTAACCAGCTCGTTGTTCATTTTGTAAAGTAGCTTTAGCTTGTTTGTTTGTTGACTAACTTAACTAAGTCGTTAAGAGCCAATATTATGTCACTACAGATATATTATATATATCCTGATCCTAATTATTTTGTTAGTTTGGTTTATCACGCCCACCAAGGAGGTTGTGCTTTCACGCCGTTTGTTTGTAAGCAAAATAACACAAGAAACAACAAAATGGAATTTCACGTAACTTGGTGGGAGGTGGAACCCATTAAATTTTGGTGTGGATTTGGATCAGGCAGGCGGATTTTTGGTTTTGAACATTTTTCCATGGGAGATATGTATGGATTTGATGATAAATCAGGCACATTTAGGAAACACTGAACCACTGAGAACGTACATGAAAGTCTTGCTATTGAAAATCAAATGCACAAACACCATATGCGTTTGTGTCTGGCTCTGCAGCGAGACAATGTTTTCAACATGGAGATTTGAGTGCCGTGTCTTGCCAACTGACCTACAAAGGATTTAAAAAGAAAAAACCGAACCACAGTGCTTACACACTACAAATCTAACAGAAGAGACGGACTAGTTTATTTTGCCCTGTTTGTGATTTCATCTCTCTGACCTCGCATCCTGTGGTGCAATGTCATTTCCAGGCCAGCTGGCAGCCGGGACATGTGAGATTGTGACGCTGGACAGGGACAGCAGCCAACCACGGCGGACCATCGCCAGGCAGACGGCCCGCTGCGCCTGTAAGAAGGGCCAGATCGCTGGAACTACAAGAGCCCGGCCCGCCTGTGTGGACGGTAAGGGACAACCTGGCTTTACTCCAACATGAGCATGTTTTTCTGAAGGCATTTTACACTGAATCATGTTGCTATTGAGGCCTGTGATGGAAATTAAGTGACTTGTGCCATTGTCCAATGCCAGATCGCATCATTACTCTGAGGGCAGTTAGGGTTTGGCTGTTTTAGGTGGATGAACCTACAAAGCGCCACACAGGGCAGTTTTTGAAACGTTCATAAACTGTTACGAACAGATGGGTTCATATTTCATAAACACTATTTGAAGATTTCAATGGCAGAAAATATCTGCAATTAGATTAAAGATTAATTAACCCAAACCCGGAAAATACCACTAACACCAGTGTCCAAAATGTCCTAAATGAGCCGTCTATATCCATATGTTCAGTAAGTCTTGTATTCTCTAATGTAAAGTGTAAATAGAATAAATAACCCCCAAAACACTGTTGGTAGTTAATTATAATACATTTAAATAACTAATATTAAATTTGGGTTAAGGAGGTAATTACTGAAGTGTAGCTACTATGCCATTTAACTGTAAATGTATTTTTTTTACTCACCTGTCTAAATACTCACAAAGATCAGTTTTCCTGTATTAAATCTAAATACTGTCATTGTCCTGTGAAAACATTTTTATTTTTACCAAAATGTCAGGTTGCTTTACGATATTTTTTTAAAAATTATTTTACGGGGGGGAAGAATTTTGTTCAACCCATAAAGGAAAAATCTAGAATAGCCAAATATGGAAATACATGGTTTTGACTGGACAGATTATCTGAGAGACAGTGAAGAATTAGTTGTTACCATGACATTTTTACATATATAATGTAATGGGATGGAGTTTATTCTCTTGAGCTTTTGGATTGTTCCTCTAGTCATCAACCTACCCTCATGACAGCTCTGGGAATGTTTGAAATTCAAAACCTCCAGATGCAAATGAATGATCGTTTGACTCTGGGATTCCCCACATCTTTTTTCCTGACGTCTTCATCACGAGCCCACTGCCTCACAGGGTGCCGTCGCCGAGTCTCTCCCACTTGGTGCGACCCGTAGCTTTGGGTGGGAGTGGGTGGTTATAACTCTGTTTGTAATGACAGATGTGGATGTCCTGTGTGGCCGGTTTTACCAGCTGAACATCCTGTGGAGAAAGACATAATGTGTGAGTGGACAGAGGGTTATGCCGTTTGGGTGACACGAGACTCTCTGTATTCATTTTCCTCCTTTAACCAAACTGCGTCACACTGAGACTTGTGTGCTCTGTCTATGTCCTGCAGAAAAAAATCTGATCTTGTAGACGCACCAGTCAGGTTGCTGTCCCCACTCGTGCCTCTTTTCCTGGTGAATAAGTCACACAGATATTGCATAAAACCACAGTATACAGATGGTATCAGGAGGCATTTGTCACCACGGGGGTTTGCGGAGCACTGTGGCATTTTGTTCAGGCTTGATTCTCCTCGTTTTTCTGAAGAGAGCTTATAAGCTTATCAGCTGGTTTTTAGAGACCTGCGCAGGTGGATGGCAGTCGTAGGGCTTCGCGCCACAATCATCTACTGAGGGAAAAAAAATCCCCGAAAATTATATTCATTCACATACTGTTGATATGTCATCGGGGACATTGTGATACAGCAGAATAGAAAGTATGAAAAGTGATGCTGTCACGAGCTGAAGGCAAGGAAAGGCTCTTTTTGCGTGGAGCACATTTCAAATGCATAAGCAATTTAAAGTGGTGACACATTGTATTAAAATTTGTGAGTGCAAGTTGGATACTGATGGACAACATGAAAGCTTCTTACATTTACAGCTTGTCAGAGTTGTTCGTTTTGGTCCTATAGGATGTTGAGAAATCTATTGACAGACAATAGATTACATTTTTGTTTTTACTTTTCAATGTGAGATGACACAGTATTTATTTCCATTTAAAATACTTTGAAGGAATGAGTGCAGACAACTATCTTGATGAGTTTGCATTCTTGCAATCACTATCAGTCCCAATAATAATGTTTTTAAAAATGTATGTGTTAAAAATACCATAACACCAAATAATGTTATGAGCAGGGTTTTAATTTTACAATGTGTGTGGGGGTGGATATTGTTTTTGTTCTGAGAGTTTAATATATTCACATATTATACATGCATGTGAACATAGGCACATCTGTGTGTGCATATTTTCTATGTCAGATTGTAATTAACTGTTTCCTTTCCATATTGTCTCTCACACACACAAACACACACACACCTTTTATTGCAGTTTATATTACAAAATCCCACAGCTTGATATTATTGCCATGCAAATCTGATTATGAGATGCTTGTCTTCACAAATGCAATGTGTTTTTCTTGTTTATTCGGAGAGAGAGAGAGAGCGAGCGAGAGAGAGTTGACATAAAAGACCCCAAATGCCACAAATGGGTTTTCAATCAATTTTAATCTACTTGAGTCCTTGAGGTCTGCTCTCTGTTGTAATTTGCCTTTTGCCTTGGCTGACACGATCTGTGTCCTTCATGCCTCAGTCTCTGTTCACATCGGTCATCCCATGCATGCAGGATAATCCATAGCTCCATCAACGCTCTCACCCGGCATCCAGGGCAGCGTGCAGTAATGAAAACAGAGCGGGCCGCTGTGGCACCGTTGATCCCACCGAGCCACCCCCTTGTTGTCACGTCTTCCGGTGTCTCTCCGTGCATTTTGCTGTTTTGAGGAGGGGAGAAATGGGAGATAAGCCTGCGACATGATAAGCCTGCCGCAGCCGCACTGTTTGACGCATGAGTCCATGAAGGGACTGGATCGGAAGAGAGAAAACTAAACCTTTAAAGAATGACATCTTTGCAGCGTGGAATGCTCTCTCTGACCCTTTCATTTTCTCCATCACTTATTTTTTCTTCTCTACTTCTGCTCTTTGCCTTTCCCCCTTCTCTCTCATTTTCTCTCACACACATGCAACACTCTCTCACTCTCTCTTTCTCTCATGTCTTTGATGGCTCTACCCATTTGAGGCCCATATCGCAGCCCTATCGCATAAGTACACCCTCTCCCATCTGCAATTTCATGCTCTTGAGCCTTTTTACCTCTGTGTTTGATGACTTTTAAGAGCGCTGATATTGATTCTTATTAGGAGGGCGAGAGATTAGAGAGAAGGCGAGAGTTGCCTCCTCTCGCCTTCAGCAAGAAGGAGTGACGGAGCCGCAGAAAGAGCTGGGGCGAGCTCCAGAGACTTAGTGGAGCTTGTTGAGGGCAACTGTGGTTACGGTGGCAGCTCAGCGGGGGTTGTCGCTGCCTGAGATGAATGTGTTTGGTCTTTTTGTTTTCGCTCGGAGGCTGGTATTGATGAAAGCCTCGCAGGTGACCAGTTTGCCGAGGCTGAAGCCCGCAGGTGATACTTTGATGGTGGAGAAATCGGTGTGTGGAAAAGGGGAAGAATGATGCAGCAACACACGGTGGTGGAATGCACACTGACTAAGAAACGAGTCCAATTATTTGTACCTTATTTAAATAAATATCCATAGCATCACATTTTATAGTCAACTTCTACTTAAACTGTACTTTTTACTCCATTACATTTGTTTGGTTACTTTAGATTACTTTGCAGTGTAAGATTATTTAATGTTTTAAATTATTATTATACAATGTTCATTACTTCTCCCTACTATATCCTGAGGTGCTAGCAGAGCTATGGAAACTAAAAGAGCTACTAAAATGTTTTGTCCTGTAAAACCAATCATCAATAACCTGAATGATGAGCTGCAAGTGATGATTCTCTGTAGGTTCATCACTTGGAGCCATAAATACATCAATAATATATAAATTACAGTCTATTTAAAATGTTGTTGTGTTTATCTGATCAATATTACCTATTTAATTTAATATGCAGTTTCAAGTATTTTCTTAAACGCCTCAATTTTCATAATTCTTCTGCAGGAACTAGTTTCATTCTTTATTTAGTTTCAAGCTACAGACACAACAACTGGCGTTCAAGATTTTTCTAAGCCATTCATTTAACAGTAAAAACTGATTGCTGAAAAAGACGAAGGAGAAAATACTTGTGAAACCCAGTATATTTAACGTAAAAGTTATTAACCCACTGCATTACTACCAAACTAAAGTGTATTCTACTTCTAATTAGTAGAAACTACTTACATTTGATCAGTAATGGTATAAGGAATAAACAATTTAAGTGCATTTTACTAGAATCTTAGGGTAACCGGGATTAAAATCAGATATTAGGTACTAATTCCATTTTTGAATTGATTTTGTGTGACTGTTTCTGCAGGTTCCTCAATAAACTTTATCCTATATCCAACAACATTTCTGCATTAGTAATAATGAGCCTATAATGTATATGTATCATATGAGTTCTTTAGAAACATTTACTGTCGATCTTGTAGTATGTGTAAAAACAACACAACAGAAGGATGACTTCTACTTTTAAAACTTTTACCGTCAGTACTTTTACACATTTGAATACAAGACATTTGCTAAATGTAACCAGCAGTCTCACATCTTTAAAGCTGTTTTGCAAGCGACAAAAAATTACTCCCATCTCACTGGATTGCACATCCCATGGGTAGATTGCATATGAGGAATAGTTTCAGTGAATCAGGCAGTGATGGAGACAACAGTAAGAACCACATTCAGTCTCTGGGCTATTAAACAGTACCAGAGCTACCATGCATCAGCCCACTGGTTTGATTTGATCCATGGAGGGATGGAAGAAAGGAGGAGGGGGCCGTGGTCTGTTGGGGAAACATGTCATGTCAGCTCCAACAGCCAGTTAGCAAGTTAGCCGCTACTGCAGCAGTGTCCAGGGGGAGCTCTATTCTTTCACATACAGGCACATGCAGACTGATGACCATGGGCTGTGGCCTTATCAAAAAGAGCGGAGGAGGAGAGGGCAGACAGATAGGAGACGCAGCCTGAGGTGGGCTGCTGCTCTTCGGGTGTGGTGGTTTGGAGGCTGCAGCCGCTGCGCTTTTTTTATGCTACTGTTCACACAGACTTTTTTCAACT